ATGGAGTGGGAAATACGGTGGTCTTTGGCCTTGAACTTCCCCTAACTAGCTGTGTGAAAATGGGTAAGTCATGTAAATATTCTGATCATCTATATCCTCCCTTAGAAAACAGATGCTACAGGAAATCTACCTTTTTGGGGTAGTGACTATGTTCATAAAATGGTTCCACTACACTGTAAGTTTTCAGGAATCAGGGACTATGTGTCAGTAAACTTTTTACCCTTGCCCTGTATTGCATCTGGCACATAGTTAATATGGAATGAGTGGTATCATTATATGAGGCTCCATATTGTGGGAAGGGTGACACGTAGAGGCAGGGCTCTGTTTATGAGTTTCACGTAGGGTTTTTAAAAGAAACAATGATTAGCCATTGAATTGGCAGATGGCTCCAGGATAGACATAATTAAATAAAAAGTTTGGGGTCAAAGACTATGTATACAGTTCAAAGAAAGTCCCTAGTCGGGCAGGGAATAATTGCTTTGGAGAGGAGTGAAAACACAATCACACTTATTCCTGGTAGGTGGTTGTTGTGTGTCATCAAGTCAATTCTGACACATAGAGACCCCATAAGACAAAGTGAAACTTCCCCCACAGGGTTTCACAGGCTGAAATCTTTATGAGAGCAGACTGCAAATCTTTTCTCTTGCAGGGAAGCTAGTGGGTTCAAACCACTGACCCTCAGTTAGCAGCTAAGTACTTAACCATTGTATCACCAGGACAATTTCATTCCAGGTATAATGATTGTTAAATACAAAGGAAGGTCACTTTGTTGTAATTCTTACACTACCCAAATCTAAGAGACAGACTACAAATTCTAGAATAAAGGGCATAAATAAATAGGAAATGAGTTCAAAATAAAAGGTCCTAAGAAAGAGAGCCCACTGATTAGACATCTCACCATTACAACTACTGTCAATGAGGACCAGCAGCATCAGTAGTAAAGATAATGTGGTCACTGCTAAAACTAAGAAAAAGTCAACACCCTTATGACAACCTCATCATCAAGTCAAGGTCAACCCACTACCTGCAAGGTATAAACAAATGAAATAATAAGACCAAAGAGAAAGGGAGATTGTCAGGTACGTACTCTCAGTTGGGGCCTTGGAACTTAAAGGTTGTGGTTCTTCTTGTTTGTGTTCTGCTAGGTTGGCAGAAGTTGATGAAGTCCATGATGTGTAGGTGTTGTATTTTCTTTACCTGTTAGTATGTCCAAATTTTTCTGTGCTACTCTTTTTTGGATTCTGTATCCCTTCACAGAGGGTATTTGTGGTGTGGTAAATTACATAGTATGGCTTTTCTGGCCATAGTCTTTGTAACTCCCCCTTTGCTGTGAGTACCTGATTGTTAAAGTTATCCACCTGCTTTATTTCTGTGGGAGAAGCACAAAGCAATCTTCTGGGAAGTTTGCTCTCTAGATTCTGATGTTGAGATTGGTTGGTTTTGGCCACTCTAATAGGCTCAAAAAGGAGCCCTCCTAGGGGAAGGAGGAGGGAATCTCTCACTGCTAGCTGAGAGATGCGCTGCTGAGAGAGATGCACTTGCTGAGAGAGAGATGTGAGAGACACATGCTGCTGAGAGAGAGATGCAAGAGACATTCACTGCTGAGAGAGACACACTGCCAAGAGACATGAGAGACATGCACTTCTGAGAGAGAGACATGCTACTGAGACAGACTGCCAGCTACTGAGTGAGACGGCCAGCTGCAAGAGACAGCACATTCCTGGACTTGAATTGGAAAAATTTTGCTTCCTGGTGTAGCAATTTAATAGGTATTCCTAACATTGAGCTTGTTGCTTCCCTAATAAACTCCATAATCTGTGAGTTCTTTGCAGCAAATTACTGAACCCAGCAGAGAGGTGGTGGGTGCTGTGGGAGGAACAGTTGGTGACATGGTGTATGAGGGTTGGAGGGTGGTGGCATGTCTGGCCTCATAACAACAGGCCTTGGGCTGCTGGTGGTGATTCTGTCTTCCTCGTGTGTAGTTAGAGGAGGTCAGAAGATGCTGCCTCTTCACCCCTTTAGCAGTATAAACATATATTGAGTGCCTTCCAAATGCTAGGTGATATGCTAGCTGTATTTACACTTACCTTGTTCTCACATCAGGCTGTGAAGTAGGTATATTTTGATTTTATAAATGAGGCTTCTGAATCTCAGAAAGGTTAAGTAATCCTCCAAGGTAGGTCTAAATCATTACAGTTGCTTTTGAGTTGATTCTGACCCATGGTGACATTGTGGGTGTCAGAGTAGAACTGGCTGTGATCTTTTAGAAGCAGATCTCCAGGGCTTTCTTTCAAGGCAACTCCCTGTGGAACTGAGTAAGTAAACTCTCAGTTAAGCTGAGCACTTACTGTTGAGCTGCTCAGGGACTCCCATGGTGAGCCTAGTGAAAAATAATAGATTCAGGACCACCTGACTCCAAAGCTCACATGCTTTGCACTCTGCCATGGGTCTCCGCATTCCCTCTGGCCTCTGCTCATTGACAGATATAACTAGAACTGGGGTGTATGTAAATGCAAGTCTCCCTGACACTGAGACATCTAAGTAAAGGGTCGTGTGCAATGGCAGGCCCCAGGACCCACCAGATGAGACCTTCTAGGCAGTTAGACATCTTGTCTGGTATTTTCCTACATGTATGCTAGCATTTTAGGATGCTCAATTGAATATAATTTGGTGTCAGTATGAAAAACCTAGCTTCCCTGATCCTGTTGAAAGATTTAAATTTTACAAGACAACTAGCACAGGGCAGTAAGTCTTTCGTTATTGCCACACTTAGAATAGGGTATAAAGCAGGAGCTCAATGTTAGGAATACCTATTAAATTTCTACCCCAGGAAGTAAAACTTTTGAGGCTGAATGTAGTGATTTAGGGTTGACCACAACAGCTGCAGAATTCATTTCTAGAGATAAGCATAAGAATGTCATTCTCAGAAACTATTACAAAATTGCTGCCCCTTCCTATATTTTCTTTTTCTTTTTTTTTTTTTTTGGAGGGATATTTATTTCAGAAAACTCTTCTTGTAATTGTTTAGTTAATACCATAGCCAGTGAACAGAGGGATAGCTTTTGTATTTTTCTGAGGAAACAGCCATTCAAACCTCTTTTAGGACCATGTTGCTGCTAATGTCCCTGTTTTTATCGTATTTGTCAAGTAATAGTAAGCATGCAGAAAGTGAGAAGCAATATAGAAGGCAGCCCTTATCTCTGGACAAGTTTCAGCATTTCACCTGGGACAACATTGATGACAAAATATTTAAGCTGAAAGAAATGCCAGTGGGTATTACCTCAAAGGACAGAAGTTGTAATGTAAGAAGAATAATTGGTTGAAGGTAGTGATGGGTTAGATACATGCTATTCTCAGAGACCCATAGATAACCTGAAGCTCTATTGATTTTCCTCTAGAAAATAAGCAGTGGTAAACTATGTTATAACATCTTCATTTTATGTGATTGAAGGCCATTTGGGTCTGACTCGATGGCACATAACAACAACACAAGGTGAACAAGGAAGTGGAGCCAATGGCTTCAGGGTGGCTTTTGCCTCCTAATGGAAGCCTTGTTAGGTGTATGGCAGGGGACCAGGTGGAAAGCACTGACTAGTATGTGCTTCTTATTGGTGGGAGACAAAAGGTTGGAGCCTAACTCACACTGACTAGAGCTAAAGACAACACTGCACAGGTGTGCCTATAATAGGGACACAGAGAAGACAAAGGGGTAGTTGAGTGATTCTTTGGTGAGTTGTCCTGAGGTGGGGCCAGCCTACACTCCTAAAATAGGAGAGTGTTCCATGGAATAGATATGGACAACGCAGGACAGCTGGCCTGGAGTGAAGTCTGGGATTGACAGAGGATCCAGGTAATCTAAGCTGACGGGGATAGATGGACCAACAGATGCCCCTGCCATGACATGAACAAAGGGAAAAAAATGCATCGACTGGTTAGGGGTTGCTTAAAACAAACAAAAATCCTGCTTCCCAGCTTTGCAATAACTGTGCATATGACCTCATAATCCATTTTCACATGAGCAATAAAACTCAAACTGAATTTTGAGTTAAAAGGTCAATTAAATCTTAATTCTAATCTTTTGAGAATTCAAATGAGACAGTAAATTCAATATAGAATTTAACAATTGCACTGATACCTGAAATTGAAATAGAAATATATAAAAACAATCCTTTGGTGTCTTTCTAATTTGGTGTGACCTTGAAGATAGTTAAAGGAAAATTCTAAGGCATTCTCATCAATCTTGATATGTTTCTCAGTCTGTAAGTCTGTTATTTGTTCTTATAATATTTATTAACTATTATCCTCTAATGTCTTTACTCCATTTAAAAAATATATAGAAGAAAAAGACAGCATTAAAACCAAAATAAATACATAGGTTTAGACATGCTTTCTTATCAGGACCATGGTTTAATTCCTTCTACAAAGTTTTCTGTAATTATTTGTTATTTGATACTTTGAGGCAGGTGGTTTAATATTATTACTAAAGAAAAGCGGCTAAATTACTATATACAGATCCAATTATCACTTACATCATTAAAAGTATGAGCTGAAATGAATTTAAACCAGTTAAAATGTTAGGCAGTGAAAGCTAGCAACTGAAGCTGGTTATTAATAGGTGGTTATTAATGGTTTTAAAAGAGAAAAATTAGGAGGAGGAATAACATCAGACTCAGACTTTTACTGTACAACCAGAAAAAGCTAGCCCAACTGCTTTGTTACAATCTTTTTTCTTTCACATGTATCCAGAAGCATCATGTGCCTCAAATGCAAAGACTAAGGAGGAAAGTGATATCATGGTTGAAAAATATCCTTTTATAAGTCAGATATTATACTCTTGAACTGTGGTCATCTTAAACAAAAATGGCAATCTTTCTTTAGCCAATTCACCAAATATCCGTGGGACAATAGATTCGTCCCTACATTCTTTTCCTCTTCTTTGTATACCTCTCCTCCCGAAGGCTGAGGTTACAATGTGAGGCAACATTGGCACGTTTACTTACCACAGGTCTGTGTACATCCCAGAATGCTCTCTCTTGGCTGTCAAGGATTTTCCTTTCAATCTTGTCTCTTTTCTTGTCCACTCTGTCAACACCGTAACAATGAATAATAAATAGTTAACTGAAGTGCTTCTCTGGAAAAAGGCCACTACTTCAACAAATCTTCCAAAAGACACAAGGACTCACTTTGCTTGTGCTTCTGCCTGCATAAAAATGAACTCCCACTTCCGGGCAAATGCTCTTTGTAGCCTGGCCAAGCTCTCCTGAAAGATATACCACAGGTTACAACATTCTGGTGCTCATCTTCACTACTTCCTTCTAGCTTATCTGCAACATGCATTTGTCAGAAAAATACAGAATTTCTAAAATAGTACATGGTCTCGGTTTTGAATGGTAAGTCGTGCTCACTGAACACAGGTAATCCTCATACTAAGAGTCTTAGCTGAAACAGGAAAATCTATTATAAATATTAATTTTCACAAATAACTGGCTTTGGACAACACAACTAAAAATCAAATACGTATTTGCAAATTATTAAATTACCTCATAGGAAATGCTTAAAAGTACTCTATGGGTTTTTCTGTGCCCAATTGACACACAGGAACAGTATAATAATGTGTTTCTATTACTATTTAATCAGTCTATCCAGCTCCAATTTCCCACAAGAAATGCAAATTCTCGTCAGTCCAGTAAAACTAAACCTGTTGCCGCCAAGTTGATCCCAATTCATAGAGGCCCTATAGGACAAAGTAGAACTATGCTATAGGGGTTCCAAGGCTATATATAATCTTTATGGAATCAGACTACTACATCTGCCTCCTGTGGAGTGGCTCTTGAGGTCAGACTGCTGACCTTTTGGCTAGGAGCTAAGCACTTAATCACTAAACCACCAGGCCTCCATGCCGGCCCATTGCTCATCACCATGCTCCAAATGTGGTGAATCATAACAACCATTAAAACAAATTACATCAGATTAATTTGATCTGTTGATGGTGACCAACATGAAAGTTTTGCAAAAACTATTATCCTCATGAAGTGATCTTTAATTCTCTAAGTTCAGATATCTTTACTGTAGTATATCTGAAATTATCATCATTAAATCAATTTAAAGTTAAGATATGCTTCCTTCCTTCTACTCTGAGTTTGTGTATTTATAATTTCACCATCCTCAGTGTGAATGACATGAAGAAGCAAGCTAATTAGGGGTTTATGAAGTCATTATACTGCCTAATCCCTGGAAATTTGATCCTCAAATCCATGAATGTAGAAAGTTAGATGAGTGCCCCAAATGACCATAGGTCTTATTTTTTGTTAATTTTATGACTCTGATTAGCAGAAGGTCTTTGGTACTTACAGCTTCATAGTCGGCTAGCTCCAACCTTGCTTTGTTTTGCATTGTTCTCTTGCAGAGGTAAACCGCTAAAAGGAAAATAAAAAAATCAATAATTTCTTAACTGCTTGTTAACTGAGGCACACTTTAAATCAAAATATAGCAATAAAGATGTATTGGTCTTTATTACTTTTTTTCCAAGTTATATTTTCTATTTCCTCTTTTATCTTTTTTTAGACAAAAAATAAATAAATAATTAGGTAGCATTAGTATTGAAATTCAAACATGGTGGCATTTATGATGTTAAAGTTTAGAAAATTGGTAAGTATTTATTTCTGTTGAATAGTTATGAAATTTTAGCTTCTTCAAAACATAAGGGGGAGAGGCGGGGCAAGATGGCGGACTAGGCAAAAGGATTGCACAGACCCTCTTCAACAAAGAAAAGGGAAACCAATTAACACAGACACAGAAGATAATCTTGGACCCCTGAGCCTTG